TAAACACCAATGTCTTGACTAGGGAATATGAGAATCAGAATATGATGGCTACAGAGGACTGAATATAAGTGTAAGCAAGAATCAGTTTGCTAGACAGATTGTGTAGAGAATAGTGGCACTCAAGTGTTGAACAATTGTAGAAAAGAGTTCTTGAAGTCCAGAATTTTGGCTGTTCCTCCTTTATAAATAGTCGCAATTGAACATCAAAAAACACTGAAGCCTTTTTTTACGACCCTTTGCTAGTAACTGTAATAAAAATGGTGGGAAGGGCAAGTGGTGAGCTTAAACCATTATCTTACAAACTTTTTAAAAATGTTTTCGTAGTCTTATTTCTTGTACATGTATATACTGATTTCAGAAACAGTTTTGAAAAATATGAAATTTTTCATCTTTCATGAAGCAAATTCTTCATGAAGCACCTTGACAGTTTGAGTAGAGTATTTTGCTTGAACTCCAGATTTTAATTATACTGACTTTCAGGCTGAAGTTCCTAGTATATTAAATAAACTGCACTAAGTTTTGCCGGCTTCAAAGACGAAGGGGAGAAACGCTGCATCTATTCAGATAAAGCTATCCTTTCCATGGATAGAAAGTTCCTTTATAGCTTCTCTGTTTATCAGATGGGACTGTTAAATTCAGGTTCAGCAGAACTAAAGATCCTTGGCTATTTTCTCAAAAAAAAAAAAAAAAAAAAAAAGTGTATCTCTTCATTTAATAGCCATGATGAAATGCCTGTAAGAGATTACAGGCTAATGGGAAAAGAGATAGGAGCTGTGATTTTACCAGCCTCATGTTCTGGAGTGCTTTAATCTGAAACTTGGCTTCTAAATTGAGAATGGTTAAGCAGCTTTAATTCCTAATATTTTAAAAAATAATTAAGTTCTTAATACCTATTTATTCTTATTAAGAGCAGTAAAAGCATATGGATTAGCAATTCCCACGCCTATTTGAAAATTAATGGGGTGAGAAGAATAAGTGCTTTGAAAGTAAAGAACATAGGGTGTTGTCAGAGAAACTTCTGGGCAGCAAGGAGACTTCAGACTTCAGCTTAGGTATTGCTTAGGTATTAGCTATTGCCATCCTGCTGATTTAAGCAGTTTTCCCTGACAAACAGTTGCCTATAGCTCAATAGTCTAAAGCAAGATTCATGCTTGTAGTTAGAATATGCTAAAATAAGTTTCTCTTTGCAGGAAAACAGATAAAGCAACTTAAATAGTAAGCTCAGTATCCTAGCACATGTAGACTTGTGCATAAATGGATGTGTGAAAATGTGTCTTTTTGATAATTTTTAAATTTCCTACGTAATGGCAGCAAGTATATGAGTATGCTGTGTATATGAGCAGTTCTCAATTTCAGTATTGCCAGTATACAGTTTCTTACACAATTGCTGAAACACAAGTTTGTAACTGGACTTTTAACTTTAGCACCTTCTGGCACTGTGCTTACAGTAGAGCTTTTGCCTTTTTTAAGAAAGAGTGTGGGTTTTTTTAGAAAGTATGTACCATGTCTGCCTTAGAAAAGAATAAATAGATCACAGCAGGAAGATAGTTGAAAGGAAGAAATAAGCATTTTATGTATGTGATAAGCTTTTAAGGTTTTTTTTAGCTTTTCCCAGTGGTTATCCTGGCTTTTTTTTTTTTTTCTTTTTTTTTTTCCTATTTGTCTTGTCTGTACTTTCTGTAGAGTATTACTAGCATGGGAAATTTAGGTTGCGAGATAATCATTATGCTTCATTGTTTAAAACAAAAAAAATACAGATGATAAGTTCAACAGGATATTGCGAGTAGCTGTCCTGAAATGCGCCTACCTGCCACTTAATGTAGCTGAAATCAAAATCTCATTTGCATACTACACCCTATAAACTTTTTCTGAGTGCAGCTAACCTAACTTAAAGGATTTGGTTTACAGTGAACCCTCTTCCTTCCTTCACCTACTTTTCCTTCTGGCTCTTCCCAGCTGGAAAGCAATGCCTGCAATGACATAGTAAAGCCTAAACAGGGAATTGAAGCAAATAGTCCTGATAGATGCAAAGACTCCTGTCTAAAATGTCAGCCTGTGTCTTGTACCTCTCCATGCTGAGGTAAAGAGGGTAAGCACTGAGGGGATGCACAACAGTTGCAACACTGTTGTGTAGAGTAGGAAAGGTGTTAAAAGTTCAGAAGAATCTGCAAGATTTGTGTGTTCAGTGAATGTGGCAGCCTGAAGAGCTGTCTCAGCTCAAATCCAGTTTCTGTAGCAGCTTCTTGCAGTTTCAAAGTATCTGTAGCAGGATGGTATCTATGAAGATGAGGTGTGAGGATAGGGTAGATGGATTGACAGCTTGATGTTAACCATGTTTGGTTTGTGCAGACTGACAGTTCATTAGAAAATTACTGTGAGAAAGAGCCCAAGATGAAATATAGTTGTTACCAGATACAGCAGATATAGTATTTTTTTTTTAGTAATTAGCAAAATTATCTTATAAGCACATGCATATATTTCACTTCACAATTTGAAGGAAATAAATAAGTCTTATAAAAAAGTTGTTAGAGAAGGAATTGCTGAATCAATGCTATTTCCAGCAAGTCCATTGAGAAGCTTCAGCTTTGTTCAAAGCCTATATAGAGATGTTGTATCACTGAATCTACCATTAAGGCAGATCTGGACATAGGTCAAAGCAAAGATGGTTGTAAAATTCATAGGTGAATGTGTTTCTCCTTAATTTCAATCCAGTTAAAGGGAAAGAATGCTTGTCCTGGTTATTAAAATCTATTAGCAGGACAGATAGTGTGTGCCTGTAAAACACTTTGTATGGCTTTATGCTTTTAGATAAAAAGAAAATGTTTTTATATCAGATTACAGGAATTTTGCTTGGTTTGTTTTCTGCTGTAGATTTTGGGCTCTCTCCTTAAGGTTCCATCCTTTCCTGAGGATTAATCCCATCAACTGAATAGACAAAAGTTGTATAAATAAAGATAGGAAGTGGTTTTGTAATTGGAGTCCAGCATAATGTCTGTGTTTCCCCAGTATACTTAATTCGGGTAATCTCAGCCAGTTTCACTGACTTCATTACCCAAGTGTTCATTGTTACCTGCAGTCATGTGAACCTGCTTCAAGGACTGAGCTCTTTGCAGCAGACTTGCTTCCCTCCCCTCCTTGGTGTTCCTCCTCAAACTTGCTCCTGTGGCAGAAGCTGTTGTCTGAGGATAGCAATGTCTGCCAATTTGTCACCAGGCAAATGAAGCTGTGTCAGCCAAGTCTGTATTTATGTAATCAGTATTTTTTCTACATTACTGCCTTTCTTGCATCTCCCATGTGTGTCTGCTGTGAATCCACTAGACATGGGACTGCTGAATTCCTTTGGCAAGTCTGAAGTTTATGAGAAGAGCTTGACTTTTTTCTTCTTCCTCCTCCCTTTTAATGCAATTAATTTCCTTGGACTCCTCCTGGGAAAATCCAGTTAGGTGGGAGGTGGCTTTAGGCAGCAACTGGGAGTTGGCTGTGCCCTGTAATGCTGGTTTTCTTATGGATACAGGTCTCCCTTGGGTATTGAATATTCTGTTGAAACAAATAAAACATTATCCAGAAATAATGTATTTTTCTGATTATAAAGCATCTTGACTCTATTTTTCTGAACTTGGAAGGAGAGTGTTGAGACTGGCAATTTGTAACTTCTTCTGTTTCGAGTATTATCATATACAATGGAAAAGGCACTATATTACTACTCATATATAGTATATGAGGTATTACTATACCTCATATACTATATATATATTATATATATACTATATGAGGTAATATTCCCTGAAGCAGAATTACTGATTTTGTTTGTAATTTTGAGGGCTTTTGCTTAACTTGCTTTACTGTGGTGGACTGTCTTAAGAAGCCTTTCCTGGGACATAACTCAAAAAAAAGTCTATATCTCTCTGTTTTGTCTAGCATATTCCCTAAATTTGGAATAGTGCTCAGATTAGATGAGGAAATAATATGCTTAAAAATAAAATAAAAAAAAATCTAGGGCTAACAACAGTCAGCTGGACTAATAACAATTAGTAATGCCTCAATTTCATTCAGAGTGCTACTCCTGTTCTCTTGAATCATAGGCTATAAGCAAATAATATATTGGTGTCACTATTGCAATTTAAAACAAGATAATAGAAATAGAATATTTTTTAGAAGCAGCAGAATTGTTAATGTGATATCCTTTAAGAATGTAGAGTGTAGAAATTCTAGCACTTGTGAATATTTCTGGGATAATCCACGACGAATATTCTCTTACGAAAAATAATTTCAGGTATTATCATGCAGTTGCTTGATTACTATCAGGAGTGTGGTGTGTGTTGTGTCATAATCTATCATGTTCCCCAAAATAATTTTTTAAATTTTATATATAATTCTCCTGTTCCACAAAAGTAAGGAAAATTTTTTGTGATTATTACAAAAAATATTATATTTCTAGGTATAATATAATACCTAGTAATTTCTATTATATCTCTTATATTTCTGGTGTCCTGATTTGTGCTTGGTTTTTGGGCTGGGGTAATAACTGCTATTTAGGTAGCTCTGTATCTTTCAGAGATACCCCTGCAGTTTCTGTGGCAAGCTGCTTTTCTGCTCCAGTCATGAGACCTTTCAGTTTCTCTTCTCAGAGAGTGTTTTCTAGCCACTTTACTTAATTTCTAATGGTAAGAAATGTTCTGTGGATATTGTGAGCTCGTCAGCCACAGTGAATAATTCATTAACAAATCACAAACTGAAATCTTTTGCACAGATTGTCAAACAATTATTTATTTTAACAACTTCTATCAGAAGATACAGCCATAGTAGTCAGGCATTTGGCACTGCTCTGGAGCTTTTCTTTATGGATAGTTAAACTCTAGTTCAGAGTTAAAAGAAAAATATGTGTTTCCATCTAACTGGGTTGTTACACTTGAAGTTTGTCAAATAAGTATAAGTTTTAAAAAAAACCCATATCTATAATTCTTTCATCTCTAATTTTAGGGGTTTTTTTTCTTTCGAAGTCTAGGGACTCCATTAAGTTGGATGACCTGAAGGCAGAAGTGTCCCCACGAATTTCAGCAGAAGATCTGATAGACTTGTGTGAGTTGACAGGACCTAGCCATTCCAAAACACCTGTAAAGAAAACAAAGCCGAGCAAGCCAAAGCTGCTGGTGGTGGACATCCGAAACAGCGAAGAGTATCCTTCAGGTCTGAGTGCTGGCCTTGCTGAATCCTGCCTGTGCCAATTGCTTCCTCACTGTCTGCAGGCTGCTGTGTTAGAATGGAGCATAATGGAGAGAGGGATCTGGTAGAGCTGGAGTTGGAGTGCTGAAGTCTGGGGGTTCCAGCCTGGAAAGGTCTGGTTTGCAGGGCAGAGGACAAATTTTTCCCTTCCAATTGTAAGTTGTAGGCTTAGTGAAATCACTTTGTACCAATAGCACAAGTGCTTTAATATTACGTTTTTCTTTATAACAGGTGTTGTCAGCAGACCTTCCCCATATAACATGACCAATATTTTGGAAAGGTGTAAGGCTTTCCAATTAAATGGAGGGTAGATAGAGAAAAGTTGACAGATGATGTGCTTTGCCAGTCCCTCAGTGGCAAATTGGTTCCTGTTGAGTGCCTTCTAGCTGTGTCAGGTAATGCAACCATGTAGCCATCCTAACCTAAGTCCTCTAGTAGCTGATAATCAGGAAAGACTTAAAGTTGTTTTGGAGCTATGTTTTTACCAGGGTCACTACCCTATCTACACCTTACACATGTGTTCCTTTCCAAGTTATTTGTACAATTATACTGTTCTTTGCATAAGGACTATTTTTTAAAATTCTTTGGGTTTGGTTTTTTCCTGAAATAGTGTAGTTGCAGGACAGGGATTGCTTGCATTTTGGAAGGAGTAGTCCTTCTTAAAGATGTTTAGGTATTTTGCAGTTTATAGTAGACTAAAATGCGCTGCCTGTTACATAATATTAGGACTGATATCCTAACACCCATCTGGTATTAACAAGTAGGAAGTGCCACTAAAAAGGCAGCCTGGTAGGCAGTAAAATTGCCCTTGAGTGTACTGGTTAGTATATAAGTTGCAGAAGAAAATGTCTGGTATGTAGAAAATTATCAAATTTTCAGCAGTTTTGAATATAAATGGGAAACCATAAGAATACTGCATTCAGTGTCCTGTTCATTCTTGCAATAAGGAAACAGGCTTTGTGTTTGTCACAAAGTTTCAACAAACTAAGATAGGATCAGACTGTATCTTTCTGTGGTGTGTGTTTTAAAATGTAACAGACCACTGTGAGGTGTTTCAAAAATATGATAGTTTTGTATATTTTAGTTTTAGTCTTTTTCACCATTTATGTCTGTCACGCTAAACTTTGCTTTCTCTTTGTTTTCTTAATGCTTTTAGAAAAGCATGAGAGGACTTCCAACAAGTATCAAACATGCTTCATATTTCATAATATGACCCACATGAAAGCTGAGGGATTGTTTTGTAATGAATCTCATCTTGCAAGGCCAAGACCTACCAGCACTGTTTCAGTTGGCCAGCAGTTCTTCTAAGGCTTATTTCATTAAGCATATTAGCAGATATATTGGCAGCTTTCCATTCCCATTTTGAAAGTTATAGCTGCATATTTATGGTCTCTCAGTCCATAGCACAAAATCCTGGCCTTTTTGTTAATTGTCTTAGCAATTAGAACTTTTTTTAAAGACTAGGTCATATTTCTCTACCTGTACTCAGTGGTTGAAGTAACTAAATTTATCTGAAGTTGTTTTCTGTGTAAATGATGATAATTTCAGAACCTGATCAATAGCAGTGAGAGTTATGTGGTTATAAATGGGATTGGCACAGAGGAAGGAAGGAGGGATATAATTTTCCCATTCAAAATAGAAATAAACTGACAATATTAATGAATGGTGCATGATCATCTTTTGTTCTTTCAAATGTTTTTTATATAGCCATGATTTTCCCACACTATAACAATGATGATCATAAAACTGAAACTGTTACATAAATAATGAGAAACAAATGCTAGTATTACTCTAAGTCAGTTAAATCTTACTCCTATTTAAAGCAGCTCCTTTATTTACTAGAATTTTGGGATTTAATTATAAATTTAACTAGCTTTCTGCAAGTACAGTAATAGAGTGACTAATCTCAATATTTGACATTGTGTGTATTTTTGCAGAACTTTGCTGATTCCCATCTCTTCAAAGCTGTTTTTGCTTATAGCTGGGGAAAGGGAATGTTCCAGGCATGTGTGTACAGGCTATGAAAGTAATTCAGAGTTTTGTCAAGGCCATAGTTCATTTTCCAATTAACAAAAAGCTAGGTAGTAATAGTCCAACTTAATTTTTATTTAAGAGACCTTCACATTCAATGTTTATAAAATCTCATTGAATGATAACCCTCTGGAACTGAAGGACAGCTAACTATGGTGTCTCAGAGTTGTTTGCTTTTCAATATCCATTACACACTTGCTTTTAGTGGGACTGCAGATAATACACATTGTGCTCATTGTCTGGGAATCTGAGGTCACATACATTAGAATTTCAATTTGGATCAAAATAGTAGAGGACTTGTGGGTGTTGACAGGATGTTTGGGGATATTCCTGATAACCCCTGTTTAGTTTTTGTTCTCATTTTAAGTACTTCATTTTTTTAGCACAAAATGCCTCTAGAAGAGGTGCTCCATCTGCTTATTGGTGTTTGGCTCCTCTTAGCAGACTAGAGCTGAAGTGAAAGCCACAAAATTAGGAGTACTGGGGATATTGTCTCTTTAGTATGAAGTATTTAATTTAGCAGATCATTTTCTGTAGTGCTGTGCTGTGTCCTTTTTTGATCCAAACAGCTCTTCATTCTGTGCTTGCTTTCACATGTCATGTTGGAAGGTTTTTCTCCATATGTGTAAATAGTAAATGAGGTTTGTCAAAATACTGTATCACAAAACACCAATGGTGTTGTATCATGGCAGCCAGGATGAAGAGCAGGTTCATCCTACAGCTATTCATGTTCCACAGGTTTCTCTGCCTTTCAGACCTCCTTAACTGATCCTCCTAAGCTTTAACCGTGGCCACATTTCTGGCAGCATCAATGTCCCTTTTGCATCAGCATTTACTGCAGAAGGGGATCTCATCCAGTGCCCAGCAACTGCCACACTGCAGAGCTTTAAAGGAAGAGTTGTGGTGATTGTAGGAAATGCAGTGAAGAACACAGCTGCTGTAAGTATATTGATGTAATGTATGTTTTTATCCTTAGAGATACATCAATAGCATGCATATGGAAGTAGTAAAATAAATGCCAGAGTCTGGAAAATTTAGGTTTAGACTTTTGTGTATAATGATAGGATTTGGAGTGGTGTTTTTGTTGTTGCTCATTTCTGCTTCTAGACAAAGACATTGCCTTTCAAGTGGTCCACATCTGCAAAGGACGATGGTTTGAAATGAAATTGCTTAACATTATCCTCTTCAGCTTTAAAATCTTTATTGCTGTCATGCTGGAGAAGGGGCATCATCACTTCTATTGTGCATCAGTAAGAGCTTTCAAAATTGGCTTGCATTTACTTTTTGTGGAGTTAGGAAGGGCACATAAGGTGAGTTGGAATGGGACAGATACATTATGAAGTGCAAAGGAAATAAGATATAATTCATATTCCTACTAGTAAGAAACAATGTATTGCCCATTTTTTTAGAATCACTTGTTCCTGCAGTTGTGCTCGTGAAGAGAATGATCCTTACTGGTAACTTTTGTATTATATATTTTATTGTCAGTGCATTTAGCTAGACAGGAAGAATATTCAAACTTACCTATTCCTTTCTATAAGAAAATATTTGATGGTGTTGAGCACTGCCAGAGTAACAACTGAAAGTGCATAACTTTCTCATGTGAAGGAAAGTTATCCTTTTTTTTTTTTTCAGACACACTCTTAATTATGGTTTACCTTTATTTCACCCATTTCTTAAGCCTGTTTACACAAAGGACATGAACTGTAGCCCTGATATGACAAGGAGGACTGTGAATCATTAAAAGGTCTTCATGTCAGGAACACCAGAAGCATCAACCCAACACATGATGTTAATTTAATACCTGTAGGGAATTGTGAGTAGATTAACCTGCATTTCATCATTTGTACAATTAACTTGTGATATATATCAGGTTTCTTAAATAGTAACAGAGATGGCATGAAAGAGACTGTAAACCATCTTTCACACAGTTTCAGTAATTAGTATGTAGCTTTGTGTGTGAATCCAGGTAAGTTCATCTTTTTTAATGTTTCGAAATTTTTGAAAAGAACATGAAATGTTCCCTTTGCTGTGCAGCTAAAGAAATCTTGCAGTGTGATTAGTGTAAGTACTTCAGTCTCGTGGGAGGCACTGTCTTACCCTCTAAACCCAGATTTTCTGCAGCCAAGATAATGTTGACCCAGAATTGTCAATATAGAAAAGAAATGCTGCTTTGCCTCTTGATTTGCTTTTAGGGTTCTTGAATTCCTAACAAAAGAGTTTTGAGCTTTAAATAGTAACAAAATATTGGATTGACCAGTTTGACCACAAATTAATTCAATACTAAGGCCTAAATACTGGTTGGAACTCACCACCTCCATCAGACCCTTAAAGTACATGTAACACCAGCCTCGATTTGGCTGTGTAGATAAAACCTTTTCTTTTGCGGATAATTTTCTAAGGCCAGTTTTAGTTTTACTCTGCACAGCTGCATAAGAACTGTCTGTCACACCCAAGCTATGTAGCTCAAGGCTTGACAAGAGCAATAGTTATTACCTTTTAAATTTTACTAGGTAATCCAGTCAGAGGAAAAAATTTAGAAATGAATACACAGAAACAAAACCAATTTTTGTCCATGTTATAAGATGCTCAACTTTAAATGTATGTTTTCTAAACAGAGATATATATTTCCAGATTAAATAAGATGAGCCAAAAATTGTATCCTCTGCTATAAGGGAGAATTTTTCAGAAGTATTCACTGATACTTACTACACTAAAAATTTGGAGATTGCTATGTTTAGTTTAAATTTATCTAGGACTGAGAGGAGGGGTGAATGTGGAAAAAACACTTAATTGTTTATGTGGCTGTTTGTAATTAGAAGATTGAATCTTCCAATTGTGCTTCGTATGAACAACCTACTTGGCATCACTTAAAAATAATTTAAGAAGCAAAGTGAAGTATACTATACAGACCTGTAGAAAAAGTCTTTTTGCACTTTGTTTCTATATTTTACATTTGATTTGATGCCAGGTGATAAAAAATTTAAATTGGAAAGAAAATGCTGTCTAGAATTATTATATTCTGAATAGAATGTGAGATGTAAGAGGGAAAACTGAAAGCTTCACCACAGCACTGTTCCAGCAAGAGGATAAGGAAGCCAGCAGTGTCTCATGGTGCCTCTGGATCTGACAGCTCTGGTTCTAGTTGAACACTTCCTTAGTACAGAATTAAAACAGGGTAATCCTGCATGATGCCACTAGCCATTGATGCTACTAACACTAAAAATTAAATTAATATAGTAGCTGATGTGCAAGAGGCTTACTGAATGCACCATTAGCAGCATGAAGATATTGAAAAAGAGGCATTGTGTGGTGCTGTTTGTCTCACACTTCTCTGGAGAATATTCCTTCCTCTCAGCTGCTTCTCACTCGGTGCCAGCCTTTCTTCTAGGTTTTTCTGAGCACTTGTTAACAGAGCAGTTATTTGTTTGTCTCTGAAAACAGCAGGAAACCTCCACATAAAGGGCATAATTTTGGAGTTCATCAATCAGATTCTATTTTGATGTTTAAGTTTTGGATATGTTAAATGGCAGCACCTCCTAAGTGAGTTGAATGCCGTTTCCCACCTCCGTAGACAGATAAGCACCTTGTAAATTCCATTATGGACAAAGAATCATTACAGTTGGAAATATAATAGTTAAATGGGCAATAAGTGTTCAATAGTAGCTTCTTCTTTGGTCTAGGACAAATAATATGTCTCCTGATTTTTGTCACTTTGGAAGTCAGACATACAGCAAGTGAAAAGGTGGATTATAGTTATGCATATGTAGAACAGGGATTATTTTGGGTCTTTTTAGGGAAGGTTGACATTGCTTCATCTTCTCTCCTTCAGTCGGCTTTGAGGTGCTAAACCATTATCTATTTCCATTTCAAACTTCTGTCTGTAGTACTGCAATGTTGACTGAATTTAGAACAGGAGAAATACCTTACCTGACACTAAATCATTCTCTAGCAATTTAATTTTGACAGTGGCATACTTCTACCTCTGTCACATGGTTGTTTAATAAATGTGTTTCCCTCAGTGGTTTAATTTATGTGCTTTATTGTCAGCTAAATGCTTAACAGAATAAAATATACAAGATGCTTTAATCTGTCTAATAATTACCAACTTATTTATGTTCTTCTTGGAAGAAGACAGATAAGCTGTAAGTCAAAGCTTAAAAAATCCATCTTTATAGCTGGAAAATTCTAAATTGTAAATTCTGATTGTTACATCTATTAATTTTTGTCTAGATAAGTTATGCTGCTATAAATGTATGGTCTAGACAACTTCTGTAAGTTACTGAAGCAAAGTCGTCATTCTTACTGCATTGCAATTGCTAATAGATAAAATACATTCATTATTTCCAAAACAAAGACAAAAAGTTCTGATTTTCCATGAGATCCTTCTGACCCTTTTGAAGGCAAGAGGAAGGGAGTCAAATTGAAAGTTCTTTTTGTATAACATATTCTTAGCTTGGAATTTTTTTTTTTTTCTATATGGAAATAGCATATAGCATTTCCTCTCTCCCAGCACACTGTCAAAAATGCATTTCTTCTTATATGAAGACTGAGGCACATAGGTTAAAGTTTCTGGTTACTACTGAATTTGTGTGATCTTATTGTCATCTTCCCCAGGCCTTTTTAAAAGCCCTTGCCAGAGAAACAAGTCCTTGCATGATTTCTTCAGTTTAAACTTGTCTTAAAACCACAAATGGATACCTATGAAGCTTGATAAGGTCATCTGAAGATTAGGTATTGCATAGAATACTAAAGGACAGGTGCTTCTAAAGACAAATACATTTATTTGGAAGGGCCTAATAAAATCTCTGGAGTGCAAGTAAACAGAAATGAGGCCATAAACTTCTGGAGATGTTTCCACTGTACATCTTTTAGGCTCTGTTTCCCTGTAAATAGTTTCTGCAGAAAAGTGACTGAACAATTGTAATGAAAACTCTTATCTTTGAAGGGATGGAGGGGCCCCTTACGATTCCCAGAATGGCTCTTTCATGTTTGTTTTGTTAAGGCCCTATTCTCCCTCTGCATCCAGACTCAGAGCCTACTGGAATCATCAGAGCCTCCTTGTTGCCTTTAAAGAGATTAAGCTTGTATTTTGAAAAGTTTAAAACAGTTAATCAGCAACAATCCTTCTGGTTGTAACTCTCCCCAATACATGGTAAAGTCTTCATTATTTTATTCTGTAAATTTAGCCCTTTTTATTATTGTAGCAAGTAATGTATGCATGCTTTCCTTCATGGAGAGAGAGCAGCCCTGCTGCTGTTGCCAGTACATGCTCTCCACACAGCCTGAGAGACACTTGGGCTGCCAGCCAGGAGCTGTGGTGTGCTGTTGTCACTCTGCCCCTGGCTTTGGTCAGTGAGCCTCAGGTACAGCAGTGAGGATCTAAATCTCTCACTGCCACAGCCAGGTATGAAAGAGGAAGGAAGAAAATGCAAGATCTTAGGGGCAGAATTTGTGTTCCTTTTTCTCTGAAGTAAGTGCCAAGGAAAACAGGCTAATTCTAGAACTCCAGAATAGATTCTCTTTTTTCATTTTTTACTGAGACCAATGGTAGCAGCCACTGGAAATTTTAGTTGTTATTTGATGTAGGAGTTGTTTGGCCTGTCTGTGTTCCTTAATATGCAGAGGTTTGGATGCCTCTGGAATCATGGAGTTGATTGGCTTTACCTATGAAAATGTCAAGAGATGCTGGCAAGCAGGATGTCAGGTCTTTTCAGTCACCTGGGAAATCTCTTGAGGACAGGAAAGGTGGGAGAATGGTGAACCTGAATCTTGGAATGGTGCTGTCAGGCCCCAGGATTTCTCCAGACATCTGTCTTGGCAGTGGTTATAGTCCTTGTGGACTGCACCTCTGAAAGAGTCCTCTTGTCCTTGATGGAGCTTGCATGGATTAGTTTGTATCCTTATGACATAGAATTTTCACTTTCTGGAGCTGTGTC